TTTATTTTTTATTTTTTAAAAAAATTCTATTTATTTAAGTAATCTCTACACCCAGTGTGGGGCTTGAACTCACAACCCTGAGATTAAGAGTCACAGGCTCTTCCGACTAAGTCAGTCAGGCTCCCCTCAATGTTTTCATTTTAAAAAACTTAACAATGAGGGGTGCCTGGGTGGCTCAATTAAGCATCTGACTTTTGACTTTGGCTCAGATCATAATCTCACAGTTGTGAGATTGAGCCTGGTCAGGCCCTGCATGGAGCTGACAATGGAGCTTGCTTCAGATTCTCTCTCTCTCTCTCTCTCTCTCTCTCTCTCTCTCTCTCTCTCTCGGGCTCATTCGGTTAAGTGACAGACTTTGGCTCAGGTCAGGATCTCAGGGTTTGTGGGTTCAAGCTCCACATCAGGCTGGCTACTGTCAGCACAGAGCCCGACGTAGGGCTTGAACCCATGAACCCTGAGATCCTGACCTGAGCAGAAGATCCTTAACTGACGGAGCCACCCAAGCGCCCCCAAAAACTTGTGTTTAATATGAGAACAAAATTGTTAACTGAAAGTCACAGTTTGTAGGGTTGAATGGGAAATGTTTGGTCCATAGTGGGTTTTCTGGGATAGTTTCAATTTCAAATGTTCCATACTGCCGTTGGACAATGGCTTAGTGCTATGTTTCTGAAATGGAAAATTGATTAGTCCTTGTTCCACACCTACACCTGGTTATGCTAAGGAAAATATGTGGGATCTGTTCTCATTCTCTTTTCTTTTTTCAAATGGTTGTATCTCGATAGCTAGTTTTCATTTATCTTTATCCTTGTGGGTTGTCTTTGAGGGAACGAAGTGTTTTCTTTACCTGAAGCTTTTGAAGAATTATTTTTCTTTAAGGAGAAAAAAAATCAAAAGGCTAGAAGAGACTTTGAAAATGTCATTGAAATAATGTCTGGGTGCAGTTGAGTGAACTTATATAAACTCTTTGAAAGTTGGATTGACTAGCATTCATGTTTGATCTAGTTAAACCAATAAAATACAGGATGTAATCTTTATATAATTACCGAAGTCCCGCTGTCTGATCCTACCTGGAGGTTACAATAATGATTCAACAGGCAAACGCCTTTCTTGTCTGATGTACTTTGACTCTTTATCTTTGCTGGCTTTAACCCAGAACAAGACGTGATTGGCAATACTGTATTTTATTTTTGTTGTCAAGTGGCTTAACTGGGGAAGGCTATTGTAATCTGACTAAGAACTTCCCCTGGGGCGGGTTGTTGAAAACTACTGGATTCTTGTATTTTTCCATTACTCTCCTGCTCCAAGAGCATCACAGGTAAGCAATGTAGGTGGATGGTAGTGTGTGTGCACCTGGCTGAAACACAGTAGCTGAAGTTAAATCAGGGGTTTACCCACATCCTTGATGCTATTAGGAAGGGTTTTTAGATGTTCTTTGTAGAGATAAATAGAATGCCAAAGGCTGATTGATAAAGGCAAAAGCACAGAACAGCTGCAAAACCTTTACGTGGGGGGGGGGGGGGGATTGTTTTAAGAAAAACAGGAAACTTAAAACCCCAAAAGGAAATGTAGAGACACATATCTATGTGTGTGCATGTTTGTGTGTGTGTCTAGAAAATTTTTTCATGGAGCAAACATCATGCATAAAGTCAAAAGGCCAACGATCACTGGAAAATTTCTACAACACCTATTATAGACAAATGATTATTCAATCTAATTGGCCCTCGTAGCTGCTACAATGGCTATGGTTAAGCATTCAGAAAAGAAATGGTAAAATGCACAGACTGTTCACTCTAAAGGAAATGCAAATGGCTGAAGGAAATTAAACCAAAAAGAATACCATTGCCCAGTCATCATATTGGCAAACATGGCAGGATTGTTACCATCCAAGGAGAAAAACATGGCGGGCTGCCTCTTCTGAGCCTCACTAATAAGATTGCATTGGGTTATACAGAGGAACTGGGAGATTTTAAGTACAGGATTACTCCCCGACTCCTGAAAACAATAATCGTGGCAAACAAAGTAACGTCAATCATAATGGACTTTTTTTCTGACCTCTAACTCTGTGCCAAACATTTTGCTCAATACTTTATGTGGATTATGATTTTAATCTTCTTAAGCATTCTAGGACATACTGTCTTCAGTGACAAAAAAACCTATTACGACCAAAATGATCGTTCATGCTTGCTTGCTATTGACCCAAATATTTCTGTATATAATGATAGTTTTTCATTTTGTGATTAGTGGGAAATTTTGCTTAAAATGAAAATGCCTTGGTTGAGGAAATGCATTGATGTTAATTCCCCCCGAATGGAAACAGCTTAGCCGATAGGCTCTGTGACTATTAGTTTCTCTGTAATTTTGACAGGTGTATGAGCCAATACCATGGGGAGCACTGGGTTTCCGCATGGTGCCAGGCACTAGAGGATGCATTTGCTGGGCAGCCGAAGGCAGTCTTTGCTGGAGTTTTGGTGTTTTGTTGTTGAGGTCTGGCCATTTTATCTATAGTCAAAGGAAACAAAAGGAAACTAGTCAAGGTGTTGTAGGTACACGACTTGTCCAATCCTCCCCCCCCCTTTTTTTTTTAACCCTCTGACATGTACTACATAACACATTTTATTTCCAGCAATAAGTCCAAATCCATTGTAATCTGCGTTCTATCTATTTACCCAACCACCCCTCCTATTCTCTGCTTCAACCCCTCAATCTGATCTGCTGCTTCTGGAATGTACGATACTCAGGACCATCCCAACCAATTCATTCCTGTCCTTCCAAGGTTCTGAGTCTGGAGATTTCCTTCAAAACGCTCCATAAAAGTCACCCTTTGTTTAGCTGAACCTTTACCCATTGTGGTGTGACAACTATGTTTAACCATTTGCTTCATGAATGTGGATATTTTACTTGGCTTCTTTGAATCCCAGTTTCTTGACTTTAAAAATGGGTAAATGAAGTTTATGTCATTACATGAGATGCCTAGGGAGGCTGAATATGGCAAACACCAAAGCAAGTGCCTGCTGTGTAGATGTGGTCATTAGTACGCTAGTATTATTTATTGATAATAATCCTGTCAAAGGCATATTACCCCACTGGTGTTACCGTATCAGCCAGGCAGCAGTTGCCATGCTGACTTTGCAGCCCCAGTGTCTCTCACGTGACCTTTGATGGAAGCCGTCTCTGTGAGAATCAGGAGCTGGTCCATTTGCTGGTGTGAAGCATTGAAGCAAAGAGGAAAAAGGAAGCCCTGTCTCTGGGACCACAGTCTAGTTTGGGAGCTGACTTAAATAAAAGACCTATATCCTAAGACAAGAGAGGATGGGGTACATACTTCTCTCCAGAGCAGCCCAGCAAATGCAGAAGCAGTGAAGACACCCTTAGGTTCTCCAGAGGTCCTCCCCATCTATCCAGGAAAAGAAAGACTTAGAAGGGACCAGGGTGGAAGCTGGGCCAGGTCAGTAGGGGGACGGGTAGATTGATCTTAGTTTAGCTGAAACTGGAGGTACATTCTGGGATCTGGGGATGTAAGGCTGCCGAGGAGAGTTAGGGCCATATGATAGATGTAATAGCTAAAGCTTTAACGTGGGGCTGAGGCCGTTGAGCATGATGATCCGAGCCTAGTGGAGGAAACTTTCTGATCCTATACAGATGAGATTGACTCAGTAGGAATCCTAGATTATGAACATACACTATTGGACATAAGACATATTGAGACAGATTATTGGGAGCAGAAGAGAAAAATGTGGTATATCCGTACAATGGGATTGGACAATAAAAAGGAATGACGTATGGTTTTTGTGGCAATGTAGACAGAGCAAAAATACCATACCGTTTAGCAAAATGTAAAACATGATGCCCAGTGAAAGAATCCAGACACAAAAGGCCACATGTTGTATAATCCCTTTTCCATGAGGTTTCCAGAATCAGTCTGTAGAAAAGGAAAGTAGGTGAGTGGTTGCCAGGGGCTGGAGGGAGGGAGATGGCGGAGTGAGTGCTAAGGGATACATGTTTCTTTCTGGGCTGGTGAAAATGTTCCAAAAATAGATAGTGGTGATGGTTGCACAGCCTTCTGAATATACCTTTTAGTATTTCGAGCATACTTTTTACTACAGACCGCTGGTTTCTATACTTTAAAACAGTGTGCTTTCTGTGTATACGTTATATCTCCATGAGCTTGTTATAAAAGGATTTTTAAGAAGATATATTGATTTTCTTTTCTCTGAACTGAGCACCAATGTAATACTAATCTATGAATAGAATATGATGTTGTCAAAATTCAAAGTTTAGAGATTCAGACAGAGGAAACGGACTTACTTGATGTCATACCCAACCGTGAACTTCCAAGAGCTGGAGGCCACGACATCTAAATTATGGGGTGGTTGGTTTTACTATCCCTACCAGCTACCCCAGCCTAACACACACTCACGTAACCTATCCGAGCCAAAGGAGGAGTCGTGACCAAGATGTCAGTCATGTGGGGTAAGAGATTTCCCAGCAGAAATGCTAACGTTAGAGACAGTAAACCGTAGTCCTAATCTTTGTTCTGTACCGAGTGAATATCAGGCCGTGCTAACTGGCGTGTGGGTATTATTTCATTTCCTTATGCCAGTGACCTCATGCGTGGCATATGGTTATGTCTTATAGATGGATCAATTGAGGTACACAGGTAGTAAATCCCTTGTCCCCCGTCACACATCCAGTGACAGGGAAAGAGAAGGCTTTTCAGTGAGGTCTGACTCCCAGGCAGCCAGCAGGAGACATGGCTCAGACACTTTTCCTTTTAGGCAGCTTGAAATCCTCATTAATTTATATGTCTTTGTTTCTATCATGGGGTCAAGGCCAAAATTGGACTTACGTTAGAAGCGCACTTTCTATTTTGGGAAGAGAGAATTATAGGAGGGCAAAAACGGGTCTTTTGTTAATGATAACATTGAAAAATGAAATTCACACTATGTAGCCATGAGTTAGAAAATTATTGAATGAGCCAATATTTCTTTTTCTTTTTGCAGAACAACGGTTCCCTGGTTTGGTGTCAGAATCACAAGCAGTGTTCTAAGGTATGTTCCCTACAACTGTATCCGTGTTGTTAAAAGCGTTTAATTTTGGAATGATTGTAGAGTCACAGGAAGTGGCAAAGACAGCAGAGAAGGTACGTGTACTGTTCATCCGTTCCCCACCAAATGCCTACGCTTTCCATGTTTGTAGAACACCATTAGAAGCAGAGAACCGACACGGGTGCAATGTATGTATATCCGTCTGTGACGTTTCATCATGTGCAAATTCAGTTCAATCAAGATACCTGTGGCGGTTCTTCTGTATGTCGCCTTATTTCTCTGCTTGTACCTTTTTCAATCCAAATAAATTTTAAGGAGAAAACATACATCTTCGGGTTGGAACCAGAAGGTTTACTGCATCCTACCTACCCTTACGTGATTTTGTACGTAGTTTGATTTGCAGGAATTTGCGATACTGCCGTTCATAAGAAATGCACAGTTGGTCGTTCAGATGACCAAAATATACTTTCCATATATTTGATCTTTCTCTACGGTTCTTGGCTCACAGCTCCCAAAACCTTGGAATTTTCTGAGTAGTAAAAGCAATGGGAACGTCTTTTGTTATATTTGGTCTCTTGTCCTCCGTTTCTAGAATCCCTTCAGAGCCCTACAGGTGAATGGGTGTCCACCCCTTACCATCATAACGACCCCTGGCCATCACAGTGGGGTTTATGTGAATGAGGTGACTTTTGGAACACGTCTGAGGATGGGGGCTCATTGCTAGGGGAACCCACTCTGAATAGAAGGTTGGAACTTCCAGCACCCCTGCCCCTGATTGCCAGGGAGGGGAGAGGGCTGGAGGCTGAATCAACCATCAACTGCCAATGATTTAATCAATTTTGCTTAGGTTAGGAAGCCTCCATTTAAAAGCAAAAACAAGAAAAGAGGGTGTTCGGAGAGCTTGCAGGCTGGTAAACACGTACAGATGTAGATTTGGGGACAGGTGATGTACCCGGAACATCATCGTCATTTCCCTGTGCGTCGCTTTGGGCTTCGGTTCCATCTGCCTGTTCCTGAGTTAACATCTGTTTATAATAAACCCGTCTAAACTGCTTAATTACTACTAGTAAGTAAAGTGATTCTCACGTGTCCTGGTGAGCCGCCCGAGCAAATGAATGGAAACCAATGAGAGGATCAATTGGACCCTCCCATCTACACCAGCTCAGTCAGAAGCACAGGTGACAAGGGGACTTGCCAGGTTGGCATCAAAATGGGTGTGGGGGCATGGAGGAGGGGTTGGGGAGCAGCCTCCTGGGACTGAGCCCTTAACTGGTACAATCTGATACCATCGCCAGGTACATGGTTTCAGAATTGAGTTAAATTGTAGGACACTCAGCTGATGCGGGAACGTTGGTGAACGGCTGGGGTAAACTGTCCCCCGACCATCCACACGCAGGTTGGAATTGGTTGCCGAACATTTAGAATTGCTGGTTAGTTTGATCCTTTAAATTCAAAGGTGTCTTCTCCATTTTTGAATATTCCTTCCTGCACACACACACTCTGAAGTTGTCATTCATACATTTCATAGCATACATTTTACCTCAATCCCAAAACATCGCAAATTAAGAAAAAAAAAAGAATATATATGTATTTGTAATATGTAGTATATAAATGAGTAAAGTTTACTACTGGCTAAAAATATTGGCAACTTTGGGATCATAATAGTGTTTGACGAAATTTATGTCATAAACATTACTATTAGACCGAAAATTGAAACAGTCCTTTATTGTATAACTAAAATTTTATCTGAGCCATACATAATACTGAAATAGCATATTTATGAGGAACACGATTATTTTCAGAGGTCTTTGAAACACATATCTCACAGTAAATGATTGTAGAATAATATTCCTAAGCCAAGAACTTTATTATAATGATAACGTTCCAACATCCACGCACACATTATATCATGGGATACATGTGACTATTACTCAAGATAGAACAGAATTCTTACGTGAATGTGAAATAATCTGGTGAAAATAAGCTTTGCTTAGCTCTGACCTGCTAAATCTTGGGCAGAAATGAAATGTCTGGTTTGGGCACTGTTCCTCTTTTTATGTAATAACATAAACATTTGTTCTGAGAAGACATTTTCTGGTGTCTATTATATTAATTGTTCTTTAGTTGGAATGTTGGGTAACTTGTTTATGTCACGATTGCAGGGAAGTATGTGTGTATATAAACATAGAGAGGAAGAGAGAGAGAGATGATGCCGTGATGCTGATAAAGTCTCCTAAGTACTGCTTCTGTCCAGTTTTATATTAGTTGAGTATTACATGAATTGCCAGCATTCTCTCATTTAAGCTACCCCTTTTTTCCCTATTATGTTAAAAAAAAAAGTAGTTCTTTTTTTACACCCTTCAAAGAAATTTGAATGGAAAAGTTCATTTCAACTCTTTTTTCTTTTAAGTATCCTAATTAAAGACCCTTCGCCCTGCCGGGACAGCAGGTTGTTAAACCATATCTTGTTATCGAATGATCAAGGCTGACACGAGAGACTGAATTTCACAAGCAGAGAAATCAATTCCTTTTTGCCTGAAAGCAAGAATGCATTAATAAGTCACAGCTAACCCCACCAGCAACTTTGGAATATAGTACAAAGCTGACATAAGTTTAAGGGTTGTCTTTAGTCTGAATCTTTGGGAATGAATCTTACATATTAATCACAGTCTATCTCCTTTGGAAATTTTCACCACTGGGCACGTTTGCAGATAATTACAGTTTGCATTTCTTTTGAGATTTGTGGAGCCTATGTAGTCTTTTCCTCTTAATCTTTAGGTTAATGAGGTAAATGGTGAGTGATAGTAACTCCATTTTACAAATGGGAAAATTCAGGCACATACATATTTGATGACAGTCCTGGAATCACTCACCAAAGGGGTAGACGTGTTCCAAAGTTTAGAACGCTGCCTTCTGCATCGTGCTAACAGAAAGGAACAACTTCAAAACCTATTTTGAACAAATATTGGGACTGAAGAGTAAGAAATAACACCCAGAAGTAACGATGATAGACAAGGTTTACATAATGTTTTATAGAAACCACACGTGCTCATCATTTCTGCTTACCGTCTGCGAATATGGGCTCTTCCTCCGATCTCACTGCCCCCACCCCTGCCCCTGGTCCGTGTGCCATCATCTCTTGCCTGGACCAGTCCATGAACTTCCCGTTGTGTCTCCCAGCCTCCTCTTTTGCCTCCGTGTAGTCCCCACAGGGCTGCTGGAAAGACCCTCTACACGCATACGCTGAGTCACGCTGCTGTGTACCTCACACCTTCTGATCTCTCTCCATCTTGCTCAGACCAAAACGTTGGCCCTGTGTCTCCAACTCTCTCCAACTTCATCTCCTCCTACTTTACAGCCCTTCGAGGTTGCTCTCCCCTCCCCACAGAGCCCTCCTTCCTCAGAGAGACACCCAGTTCACCCCCACCCCTCATTCCCATCTCAGCCTTGCCTCCCCAGGTCCCCCCCGCCATTTGCATGCTTCATTTACACCCTAACGCGGCACCATGGAGTTATTCCTTTATCTCTCAGAGTCTGTCTCCTTCACCAGAAAGTAAGCAGCCACTACGTATGAATGAATGAAACCCGTACATTACATTTTGTCCTCCCTCAAAGTACATCTTTACTGCATTACATTTAGGAGAAAAGTAATATGTAATCCATTTTGCATATGTACGAGTTTGCAAGATTGATTATTGTCCATTTGGAAAATGTACAGCTTTGCCCTGTGCTCTGTTCTCCATGATGACATCAGCACTATGAACTCAAGGGTCTTTCGCACCATTCACTCCTAGATAATATAGAGTAGTGACTCATTCATTGTCCATTGTAGGACATTGTAGGCTTAGGTAGTCGTTCTCAGCCTGGGGCGATCTTGCTCCCAAGGGGACATTTGGCAATGGCTGGAGATAGTTTTCGTTGTCACAACTGATGGTGGGAAGCCACAGGCATCTGGTGGGTGGAGGTCAGGGACGCTGAAGAACAGCATACAGCACACAGCACAGCCCTGTACAGCCAGAGTCATCTGGTCTAAGTGTCAGAAACGCCGAGACTGAGAACCCTGCTCTGTGCATTTTGGCAATTATAAAAGACATAAGAACACAGCTGTCTTCTCAGCATATTCTTATATGGCGGAAAACAAGAGTGGAATTTACTTGGCATGTGGTACGTGTGGAGCCCCGTCAGGGGCTTGTTACGTACAGGAATTGTAATTCTCACGAAATACTCTCTAATGTAGGCAGGTGGATTGCTCTTTACCTCCCAATCCACTTTCTCCTCTACTAACCCAGACCTAGTTCTTCACCTGAGCACATTATCACCTAGAATTAAGCATCTACATTTCCCAAAGCTTTTTTGCTGCTAACTTATTAAAAGCCTACTCAATGCAATTGGAATGATCGTGAAGGACTTTTGAAATGCCTCTCTATAGGAAACGGATTTAGCTAGAAAATGCACTCCTGGCTGTTCCCCTTCTCTGTCCTCTACTGCTTAGGATGCAGACTGATGGTAGGGGCTCCGGCAGCCGTCTTGGTCCATGAGTTACCCTTGACGATGGAGGCCAGTGTGAGAATAACCAATAAGAAAGACAGAGGGCATCTGGGTCTTTGATGCCATGGAGTCCCCATTATAAGTCTTAGACTTCTTTTTTTTTTTTAATTTTTTTTCAACGTTTTTTATTTATTTTGGGACAGAGAGAGACAGAGCATGAACGGGGGAGGGGCAGAGAGAGAGGGAGACACAGAATCGGAAACAGGCTCCAGGCTCCGAGCCATCAGCCCAGAGCCCGACGCGGGGCTCGAACTCACGGACCGCGAGATCGTGACCTGGCTGAAGTCGGACGCTTAACCGACTGCGCCACCCAGGCGCCCCAAGTCTTAGACTTCTTAAATTATGTACACATGAAAGAAAATTTTCTGTGTTACTTAAGTCACTGTTTTTCCTTTTTTGTTGTTGTTCTGTGAAGATGGACCTGAATCAGTGAACCTGATCTTGACCCTGTAATT